CTGAAACGAAAGTTACTGAATAGAAAATTGTTTAGTTTCCGAGCTACAGGGTAATAATGAAAAATTGTATTTTCAGGTACTGCTTGTATCTCATTTGTCCTTCAACTGTCCTTCAATCAAGTACGTAAAAACGATTACTATTGGAACTTCATATATATTTATGCATTGGTTAGTTTTTTTTAATATAACTGTTTTTGGAGTATTGAATAAATTAATTTGTCTTTTTGTAAGTTTTTCAAAAAATATTTTTCTATAACTAGGTACACATAGTGGCAGGTAGCTCTGATATTTTCGTACAGATAGGATCGATGTTCTGCGCATGCCTCTGCATTTCATCCACTAATCTGCACTTGGCGCCATTTCTAAGCAACGATCTCATACGTGATAAAACTGAAACCTGTTGAATTGACGAACTGTCAGCTGCCATGTTGGCTGTTAAACGTCACTAGGTCGAGGTTTATCTAGATCGTTGGTTGAAAAGTTCCTGTATTATTAGTATTGGCAGGACCTCACATATAAAAAAATCTCCTATTTTTTAATTTTTTCTTGAACAGCTTCAGATTTTGTACAAGTGTAGTTGAAGCGCTTCTTAATCGCCACAGTACACGTTGTTCATATTCGCCTATCAAATTTTAAAGCTATAAGTTCAAAAATGTTTTTACTTAAAATTAAATTGAGTTGTTTATTTATATCACCCTGTAATTGAGAAACGCAGCGATTTCATACTAAGGTAAATTGATTTAAAATTCTCACTAACCAAAGCATAAATCATTTTTTAATGACCTGCTGAAGAAGTGGAGTGGTATGGTCTGTTCATAGATATAAGAAAGTGACCAATTGCTTTTGAATGGGATTATCCAAGGGTGGTCATTAACACACAATGCAACAAGATTACCTAAAGTTTCGGAATTTAAATTCAGGTAAAATTGTAGTGCGTAATAGAAAATAATTTTATACCTAACTGTGTTCAATATTCTTTGGTTTGGTAAACTACTTAGTTTAAGTTTATTAGTAATCATTCTTATTTCGTGTGTAATACATCGAGTGCGAATTATGCAAAATATGTGCGAGTCTAGTATATCTCAGGAGATGCTCCCGCCCAAATGTAGAAAACACTATTCTATTGAGACTAAGGAAGTTATCTTCTTCTTATGGAGCCGTCTCCTTTCGAAGGTTGGCGATACAAATAGCTAACGTGGTTCTAGATACGGCCATACGAAAGATGCCGACCGATGAGCAACCAAACCCTCGTCGAATGTCCTTCAACCAAGAGTTTTGGCGCCTGCCGACCGACCTTTTGCCATGAACTTTGCCTTCTATGATTAGGCGGAGAAGTTCTTACTTTTCACCTCGCATTATGTGCCCAATATAACGAATTTTTCTTTCTTTGATGGTAAGCATAAGTTCTTTTTGTTTTCTCATGCGCTTGAGAACTTCTACGTTTGTTACTCTTTGGACCCATGATATTCTTAGTATACGACGATAACTGTACATTTCAAATGCATCTATTTTCTCTTCTAGTGATGGGTTTAGGGTCCAACTCTCACATCCGTAGAGAAAAACCGAGAAAACATAGCATCTGACCTACAACATCATTCTCCTTTCCGAAACCGATTTTTGCGTTGAAATCTCCTATGACCATATTGATTTCACCTTTCTTCGCGTGTTTCATCGCCTCCTCTAGTACTGAGTAAAATTCTTCTACTTCTCCATCACTTTTGTCGTTTGTCGGGGCGTATATTTGTATTATGTTCAGGTTTCGGTGAGTAGTTTGTAATTTTAGGAGAGTAACTCGATCGTTGAAGGATATAAACTCTATAACTGATTTGTCTATGTCCTTGCTGACAAGTATGGCAGTTCCGTATCAGTGAAAAGCATCTGTTCCTCCGGAGTAGTAAATGACGCCGCTTTTAGTTTTCTGTTTACCAGATCCAGGCCATCTGACTTCACTCATTCCCAAGATATCAATCTTTAGCTCGACATTTGCCAGCTTTCCCGCAGCATACAGGCTGCGCACGTTCCACGTCGCAATTAGTATTCTAGAGTTGTTCACTTTTATTCTTCGTTCATTGTTATTGCTCTTAATAGTCGACGACGGGGAGATTCTTGGCACCCTCTCCTCATCTAAGAGGTGCCCCGGACTGAGGGCCGTGTCTTTGTTTTCGTCAGCCATTAAGATGTTTTGGAAGTTTTTGTATAGTAAGGGTTCCGTTCCTTTTCTATACCGCAATACAGAAGCCGAGTTCGCTGAACTGTTGCTTGTCGCCTCCTGGTGTTTGGTACTACACCGATCTCACGCCGTAGCCCGATTTTGATGAAACTGCTGCCTTTCACCAATGGTAGTTTTGGTCCGCGCCGGCTATTTCTTTTCACCGGTACCACCCATATCTTGAGAGGCATTCCCCTAGGGGAGGCCTCCGATGGGGGACTAGCAACCCCACACGGAAGGAAGTTATAAACAATGTTTATTTAACTCTCATTGAACGTGGTGCCAGCAAGCAAGCATCTTTAGAAGAAACGGCCACATTGACGAAAATTCTAACATCAACTGTATGGAAAATTGTGAATAATCCCATTTCAGCGAGGAAAAAAAGAAACGATGCTGACATTTTCTCGAGTGTAGATGAAAGTGATCAAGATATAATACGGCGTATAATTTACCATTTATACCTACATTAGATATCTTAATTAGCAGGCTTGAATAAGATGAAACCGGTGTTAAATGTGGCAGAACTACTTTATGGAAGTGTATTCAACACACGGGTTTTAGATTTAAAAAAATGACAAAAGGCAAGTTTTAATGGAATCTTTTGGAATTCGGAAATGGCGACTGGAATATCTAGAAAAAATTAGGATTTACAGAGAACAACAAAGGCCAATTATTTACTTGGATGAATCCTGGTTCGACACTTATGATACACCGGAAAAGGGTTGGGTTGACTCAACTGATAAGTGTAAAACAAACGCGCCATCAAAAAGAGGTAAAAGAATAACTATTTTGCATGCTGGCTCTAAAGATGGTTGGATTCCAAATGGACTTTCTCTGTCTGCGAAAAATATTAAAGATTCTTGTCTGGATTACCATGAAGACATTACCGCTGATTTATTTGAAAGTTGGTTTAAAAAGAAACTAGTTCCAAACATTCCTCCTAATAGCGTCATTATAATGGACAATGCAAGTTATCACAGTAGACAGTTGACCAAAACCCCTTTTTATTTTCACGAAGATTATACCAAAAAGCAGTTAACCGAGGTTCTACAAAGCTTGAACCTACACAAAAGGAATACGTCTGTGATAATTATGCAAAAAATGTAGGGTATACAGTTTTAACGGTTCCACCTTTGCACTGTATAATCCCATTGAACATGTTTGACACCAACTGAAATCTGCCATTCGTCGTAACAATGTTTTTCCCCGTGTTAACTCCAACAGGCGATGATAGCGATAGTGATACTGATATATTATGTGAATAATTTTAAGTAATTTAAGTAGGTAATAAAAATAATTTGTAATTTTATTTTAGATTTAAACATAAACACATACATAAATGAATAAAAAGTGTTTAGTATCTTTCCTAACAAAACCCCAAATAATTAAATTCTAAGTAAAGTACGGACCTGTTCAGTCATATTTCATTCTTACAGCTTGCTCGGGTCTTTCCTTAATTCGTATCAGTTAGTCACTTTCTTATATCTATGAACAGACTTTAACTGTTTGTTTGACCATTTTGGGATTCCCTAGGATGTCCTGTTATTAGAATAGTGATAAAAAACAAAGGGCCAAGAGGACTGCCCTGTGGGACACCGGATGTGGTTTCAAAAAACTCTGATTTGTATCCGTCAACTGTCTCTTCCTTTTCTATCACTAATATGAGAGCTGGACGGTCTCTGCAAAGCTAATCGACAATACCTGAAGTCGGTGTAGACAACGTCAACCTGGTCTTTACTTTTATTATATGCTTTACTAACAAATTAAAAAAAAAAAAAGCCCGCTACAGACGACAACGATTTTTCTGTGCACGTTGTAGATAATTTATTTTCACAGTTAATCGGTAGCAGTTTTCTTTTCTATTTGATAAATCATTGCCTGCTGCGTTTGTACCATTTTATCGTTTCGTGTGGATGGTGCCATGTGATCGATCCTGCCAATTCAAGAGCGCAAGCCTATAGGTAGGTCATCGAATGTCGGAACAAGATCGAAGCGGATACCGTGATCAATTGGAGGAGTTTATTCAATGCGACCAAAGTGAAAGCTGCCTTGGCAGACAAAATCAAAAAATTACCATCACTGCAATAAAAAAAATGCCGCCTACAAGAGACTGGTAGAAAAATATATAACGATCCGAACGCTAAAACTCCATATCAAAAAGAACTGAATAAAATGAAACAATCTAACAAAGCCGGAGCACTTATGGTACTTCGATATGTTGAAGCTTTTAAATAATCAGGAAATATCAACACCCCCTATATCAAAAACCAGGACGAACATGAGGTATGTCACTTTTTAGATACAATTTTATTGACATTTGACATTTCCTTGGGTAACATTCCCTTGGCGAGTATTTTGATGATTCAACGTTGATTTAGTTGTTGTGAATCCTGACGATGTCGTAACTTCTTCAAAGTTTTTTCGATTAAAACATTCTGAGGGAGCATATTATATAGAACAGTTCACTATCAAATAATTATGCAAAACATAAAACACTCACGACTGAGTAAGTATCTTCAGGTGACATATTAATTTGTGTTCTGTAATTTCTGAACCTTGATAAAGTATACCAATCCCGTTTTTTACTATGCTGCGTGCTCGTGATGTCCGATAATTATAAATATGCATTGCTCTGTCATTGTTTAGATCATTTTGTGTAAATGATTTCATCATATCTTTTCTAAGAGGAAACGCGACGTCAGCCAACAAATATATATGGAAGTATTGGTGAACTATTTTCCTTTTTTTTTTTGAATATTTACCATGTTATCAAAATCAAATAGGATTTTGCGTCAACAACTGCTAAAAGGACCATACTGTGTATATTTTTATAGTTCCCATAAAACGAACCACTGTTCTTAGGAGGCACGATTTCAACGTGCTTACCATTAATCGTACCTAAGCTAGGAAAGTTCAATCGTTCCTGGACTTCCATTGCTATAGTTTTTCATACATCTTTGTTTGCCGTAACTGAAAATAAACGCACCATTATATCATTTGTTAAACTATTTACCTATTTCCATTTCAAAAGAACTATTTCTTTTACAGGAGCAGCTAAGAGAAGCCTCACAGCAGTCTGGCAACGTCTACACCCAATCCCAAGGCAACGAATAAGATACTGATCAAGAGGCATTAAAAACAAATGGCTCGGCTAGCAAAAGAGATATACCAACACCCACTCAAGACCAGTAAAGGGCAAACTCTAGTGACTATTTTAAGCTTCATATGATCCCAGCAAATCCTTTTGAAGTATATGGAAGAAGTGTCGGTATGAAATTACAAGAGTTACCTCAAGAGCAAAGAATTTTCGCAGAAAAAATAATTAAGCAGTTTCAGTCGTAATTTCACACTTTATCTGAGCAGCTTCATGCCCAAACTTTTTCCATTCTGCCTCAGTCATCCTGTGAACCTTTTGCTAATCAGTATCGCTATTGATACAGGGTCAATATTGTGTCAAAGTAATATATCTCATTTATTATTAGTTTAAAAAAAAAGTCAAATTCAAAAGTTACAGATAAGACTAAAAGAAACAATTTGAAAATATTTTAAAATATACAGGGTACTTCATAAATATGCCGGAAACTAAATTTATATAAAAGGAACACAATGTTTATTATGGCATTAGTAGATACTCTTTTTTATGCTCAAACCTCCGATATAGGGTTGTCATAGTCTTTACCGAGTGTTTTCGGATTTATGGCCATTTTTTCGTTAAAAATATCCTGTCTTTAAATAGAGTGTATATTTTTGAGACTATTTCCTACAGCTGTATTTTGATTATGCCGCCAATTTTATAAACTTGTCTTGAAGTTAGTTCGAATTACAGGATTAGTCAAAATTAAAAATATTAATTTTCGTGAAAAAAACTCTGTGTATTACACTTTCATTATGGCCATAAATCCGAAAACACTTGGTATAGAAAATAACATCCCTCCATTGGGTGAATGAGTATAAAAGGGAATAATGCAATAATATACAGGGTTTTCCATAAAAAATATTTACTACATATTTATGAATCACCCTGTATATTCCAAAATAATTTTAAATTGTTTCTTTTCATCTTGTCTAAAACTTTTGTATTTAATATTTTTTTCTAAAGCAAATATATCTCATTTAATATTTACTTGGACACACTGTCTAAACGATAAAAATGATGAAACAGCTGCTCTTAATTTGCGTCATTTTAGTGATGCTTATAATAATTTTATTCATGTCTAAAATTCAACAATAAATAAATAATCCGACAATCAAAACTATATGATTTTATATGCCCCACCTACTCGAATAATTTCCATACACATTACGAGAATCAGCGACCTCCTTGGCAACAACCATGTTGCTCTTGAATTATTTTATTTTTTACACCTGGAAAAATTCTATCATACATGGATTTTGGATTTTGTCAAAGCCACACAACTTGCTAATAGGCTTATAGTTTTTAACATTTCGCTTACTTTCTAATGTCGAGGGAATCTGCCAAACGCACGTGACTTGTTAAATATAATTTTAAGCCGTAATGCCAAGTGGTTTTTGTAGTTTTTAATAGAAACAGGCGGATATTAAAATAGTATTACAGTAGTCTGGGGAAGTTTCTTTAAAAATTATTATCCACGTTGTTCCTTTCTGCGTATCTGCCCACATCACTAAACTCGAGATCTCGAGAACGGTAGGTCGTAGAGGGTCGCCGTGGGTACAGATTAAAAAAATTTTTTTTTCGTCTTCTGTTCTTTGTTCTCTGTTCTTCGTAACGGACCTCCGATGGGTTTTTGATTGCGGCTAATATTCGCAAGGTTAAAACTGTGGGCTTCAAAATTTTCTCCGTTCTAATACTAGGCGATCCGCAGCGGATCGCAAAACATTGAGGCTATTCGAGACCTGTGACCATTTTGTTGGCTAATTCTCGATGCGCTCCGAAAGTTGCTATGAAATAAAGTAAATGCTCAAGATATCTACTAAAAGTTAGATTTCCGTTCCCAGATTGAAACTGGGCTAATGTCGCTAAATATTTTTAAAAAGTTGCCGTTCGAAATCCACAAAAAATAATTTCTTGAAAGAAAAACGAGAAGATGTCATGGATTCGGGTCAATAATCTGTCACATAGTCAAAAATGGACCCGAAGTGTCCGTTATCGGAGTTATCTACAATGATTTCTACGTAATAAGGATAGGACACCGTGAGATCTACGATGTCAGTATTTGGCCACGATGGTACTATGAACAGACCGGGGGATTCACATCGTCAGCTTTTCAGATACGAACCTATAAAGTCTTAGTTTTAAGTAATATGATTATTCTTGTTGTCACTGCTGCTGCAGAAATTCTTAATTTTCGATTGTATTTTGAAAATAAAGTTTTTAAAAAGTCACCTCGTCTTCGCTTCAACATAATTGGCGCAGTCGGTAGGATTGTGCCCTCGGAATTCGGAAAACGAAAAAGCAGAGACAATACGTGTGTGTACGTCGCATCGTGCGGAAAAGTGACACTTACCGAATTAGGCTACCCTGAGGAATGGTTTCAACTGCTACAGCGCAATCCAAAGAACTTGTTGGCGAACCCAGAGAAGACTCTCGTAGGGAGTGTGCAACAAAGGATCAGGGAAGGGAAAACCGTAAGTGCGACTTTTTCCTTTCGCCCCTTAAGGCTTTTAATAGGGATAATTTTAGGCAAGATGTATCGGACGTCAAGTAGTTAGGGAAACAAAAACATTTATTTTATTTTTTTTTAATCGATTCATTTTTGATGTTAAATTGTGAATCAGAAACAAGCTGCGAATATTTCAAAGCATTAAGTAGTGACGTAGAATCTGAAATTAGTGAAATTTTCAAAAATCTAACCTTTAGTGAAAGAAAAATATCAGAAAAAATGACAGACCAAGTAAATTGGAATTTATTTAAATCAAAATTGCAAAACATTCAACCTTACGAAGGTGATAGCAATACCATAAATAAGTTTATCAACAGATGCGAAAGCTTAATTAATGGTTACGCTTCCCTTGCAAATTCAGAATTAAATAAACATATTTTTGAATGTATCCAGGAAAAACTGGTAGGCAGAGTCACCTCGTCTTCGCTTGAACATAATTTCGGCAAATAATCTAAAATTTCTTAAATAATGTATTATGCAACAAGTGCTGTAAACGGCATTTGACTCACGAGTTTAACGAGTTAAACGAGAATACTATACTTTTTTTACGACCGTCACGAAAAAAATCATAATTTCGGTTCTGCTATCTCTTTTTAACTGTGTACGTTAGACAGAGAGAGATGTATTATTGGATATGTCATATAAAAAACGATATAAACACAATTTTAAAATGTTATGTTGTTTATTTAACTTTTACACTTGATCATTAAGTAATTTATTTAAAGAAAAAACTAATTGGAAGAAAAATCATCCAAGGATAGAGCTTTTAAGAGGATTATGGATATTTGAAAATGGTACAATTTTCCTTGGCAAGATATTAATATAAAATTTTTAACAACGACTAAAATTCATACGAAAGGTATGTAAAATTTCTGTGTTACTTTACTTACCGACTAGTCCACTAGATTTTAATTGTAGCTTAGAGCACGTAGTATTTAAATTGTCTGATACATTTCAACATTTTTGTTTTGTGTTGTGTTTTTGGGTACATTTTTGCAAAACAACACAAATATATTCACTGACAAATGACCGTGAGAATTGACAAACGTCAAAATTCAATCCGTGCCGTAAGATCCCGGAAATGTCCGAAGTGGCTCGGATCCGTGGAAAACGAAACTGAGGTGGTAAAGTGACGCTTCCAGCACTCTAGCTCGGTGTGTAATTAGGTAATTTAGAGACGAGTATAGAAAATAGTATATTATGCAACAAGTGCGGCAAACGGTATTTGACTCACGAGTTCGAGTGAGTTAAAAAGTTTACCGAACGTGTTGCATACTATACTTTTTCTACGACCGTTGGTTTTTGGATACATTTTCGCAAAACACGAATACATTCACTGACATGACTGTCAGAATTGACAAACGTCAAAATTCAAAGCGTGGGAAATATCTCCGAAAACATTCGATTGCTCCCAAACCCGTGCGGTAAAATCCGGCAAATTTCCGAAGTGGCTCGGATTCGTGGGAAACGAAACTGACTTGGTAAAGCGACGCTTCCCGCACGCTAGATGGGTGCGTAATTAGATATTTTACAGATGGGAGTAGAAAAAAATATTCAATAAGCGTAAATGTCAATGTCTATTTTATTATTATAATACAAGGATAAACTCTTATTTTTATATATCACATTTCAATATTGCTTTAAGCCCAATTAGCTTAGAAAAACAACACAATGGCCACGCGGTAATACTGGAAACGAACAGTCTATAAAAAATGCCCTCTTGCGGTTATATGGTCTTCCTCATGCTTAAGTCAAGCGGCACGTCCAAATCGACTTCCATACGATTCGGTTCCATTTCGAACGGCCTGTAAAGCTTATGCGTATACGATTCCGAGAATCTGTAACCGTCGTTCTTAATATCGATCAACGCTCCTATCCTGAATATCTCGTTGGAGTTATCCTCGTGGCATTTCGCAACTTCACTGGTGGGCTTGATGACGGACACTCTGGCCGGCGAAGGTTCTTCTTCGTAACTGACTGTTTGCGCTTGATTTTCGACGTCCGCGTCGTCTGTTTTCTGGAGGTTCGAATCCAACGAAGGACTGTTCTCGTTAAAAAAATGTTTATACGTTTTGACGTGCTTCCTCAGGCTGCTCGGGTCGGTGTATCGTTTAGGGCAACCGGCCACTTTGCACTGATACGGTTTCTCGACGGAGTGGGTTCTCGTGTGCTTGAAACGGTCGCTCGAGTTGGAATATGCCTTGTTACAGCCGGGCACCGGGCAAATGTATGGCTTTTCGCCGCTATGCGACCTCGAGTGGATTTTTAAATTTTCGGCGCGGGAGAACGACTTGTCGCATTGGGTGCATTTGTGAGGCTTTTCGTTGGTATGCGTCCTGACGTGGACCAGCATTTTATATCTGAAAGAAAAGAGCTGTCGTTAAGTAACTGCCAACTTTAGAGGTCCGAGTTTATTTGGCACGAGCGGAGCGATTGTTTAATAAGCGAGCGAATTAAAAAGTTTACCAAACGTGTTGCATACTATACTATTTCTTCGGCCTTTAGTTTTAGTTCACTGACATGATCGTCAAAATTAACAAACGTTAAAATTCAGGGAATATCGCAAATACCAAATAAAGAGAGAGGTTTAGACGAAGACATACAGATACAAGCGCTATTAATAAATTTATTAATAATTATTTATTAATAATTATATTAATAAATTTGGGTTTGTAGACTGGGAAGCATCAAAAAGTGTAATATTAATTATGTTTCAAATATTAGACGAAGATAAACAAGGACGCCAATGCAGATCGGAATAAATAATTCTCACTTTGATTTGGTCGTCGTGAAATGTGAAATGAAAATACTTAATGGGCCATGAAAGCCTAAACTAACTTGTCGTGCTTTAAATAATTGTTTTTTAATTTTTTACTAGCTATTGATAAATTATATTGCTCATTGAATAAATTTAAAAATCATCAATAATTTTAGCTGTGAGAACAATTTTGCACACGTTTTTAGTAACCTTTCATGATTCGTGATAATCGCCGTACTATGAGCGCAATGATTTATTTCAAATAATTGAGAACCTTTAAACAAGCACATTTATGACAGGTTTGGCTTTTTGATTAATTAAACTGCAACTGAATCTTTTATCTGAGTCACTGTAAATATTATCAAATACAAACATTGTAATGTAAACAAATCATAATTATTTTCTCTCCAGGAAAATTCTTTCTCCACTTAAACGCTTTACCGGCGTCCCTCCCGCGCTTCCGGAACGCCACGATACGGACAAATGAACATATGAACAAATACGGCCATCTCAAAATTCAAGCCGTGCGGTAAAATGTCCGAAAACATCTGACAAAAAATTCACGTGGTACCGTGACGCTTTCCGCACACTAGATCGGTGTATAATTAGGTATTTTGTAAAAGGGATTACAAAAAATAATTTTCTGCTTCCTACTTTAACCTAACTAACTAACCAAAACTATTAGAATTAATACTGCGAAGGCGGGTCTATAAAGGAGGCGATGGGACAACATAGCCTTATTTTATCTTCGATTTTGTTTTGAATTTATTTTCTGAATCTGATATATTTTTGACCTAATTTTAAAATTGTGTTCTGAATGCGACAAATTTTTTTTAACCCCGTTTAACTTGAACATTTAAAAAATGGATTGAATATGACAGAGACAGAGACAGAAAAAAAAAAGAAAAAATGGAACAAATTAATTTAAAAATCAGGTATTATATTTCACGAAAAATGCTTGTTATCGTAAAACAGACAATATATAGGGTTTGTTTAAATGGAACAAACAACATTTTTTTAAATCCATTGTTGAATTCTGTGTTAAATTTCAGGCATAATTTATAAATGGAATTCGAATTCTGCGTCAAATTTTACGCCTAATTCATATAGCACCTATCTCTTACTTATCATAAACAACAACAGAAATTTAATTTTGAAATGAACAGGAAAGTAGCTGGATGTTGACATCAAGTTCTTTTTTTAAACGGAAAACACGTCACATTTTACGCATAATTCATCGAGCATAGCCTATTTTTTGCTTTTTATAAGCAAAAGAATAAAAAATAAATTTAATTTTGAATTTCAATTTTAAAATTGAAAGAAAATTTATATAAACGAAATTATTGTATTAGGTGTTGAATCTGCTCACCATTAACTTATTAAATTAGGCTAATAGGTTTAAAAACCCTTTGAAAATATTGCTCGGGATTTGGCTTATTCCTTAATTAATTATAAATTTAAAATCATCTAAATTTTGTGGTTTCCCTTACACACTTTTTATATATACCCGTGTAAAATGGGGCGGATCTGTGTTTATCAAGCATATCAGGCTCATTTGAATTTGGCCAAGAAGCTGTGAGAGTACAAATTAAGTCATTTTAAAGAAATTGTAAACGTCGCTTTCTAGTAAGACTTTGATTGAAGAAATAAGATCCGATAATTTTTTTATTCAAAATCTCTATCCAACCATTTATTTTTTGTAGATGTTGTGTGTGTGTGTGTGTGTGTGTGTGTGTGCGCTATAAAGTTTGTTTTAATTCGGATCAATGGTCGTAAAAGAAGTTCAACTTGTCGATAAACCTGTGAAGTTTATTTAATCCGATTATTAAATAGTTATTCCGGTCGTGCCAAGCAACTTTAGTTGCGAGTTAGTACGAATTACCCTGTATATCTGATGTTTCGATACGCAATGTCCCTACACTTATGTCAGAAAATCTGACTTGTTTTTCAGAAATTCTGACTTTTGCCAGAAATTCTAACTTATTCCTCAAACATTTTCCTAATTAAATTAAAAACTATATTTTATTTCTGGTGGCCTTTTAGCACTTTCATACCTTCAGCAACTCTATTTTTGGAAGTTGAGCACAAGATTCTTTTATTTTCAAAATCTAAGAAATTAACACCAATGATATAAATTAAAATAAGTAATTTTCATAATTTTCTTTTAAAAAAATAGATGTAATAGATCTCCACAAATCCTTATTCTTGAAATACCCTCCTGTATAATGTGCAATGACATTGAAGGTCCAATAACAAATGTTGACAAGAGCCTGTATAATTTAAACTGTTTTTTTTTCTCTACTCCTAGTCACCAGGTTTATTTCTTGTGTGACCTTTTGAATAGTTTTATATTTAATTGATAAGAGCTAATGTTTTTTGGTTTACCGCTTTCTAGATCGTTTGACTATGCAACAGTTCAAAGCGTGCTATTCTAATACCAATTCCCAAAAAAAAAAAAAAGCCATTACCTCGCGTTAAATCCTTTGTTGTTCCTGTTACATCCTTCCCATCCGCAATAGAAAAGTCCCCCTGCACCGCTGAACGCGTGGGTTTTCGATACATGCGCGGCGAGTTGTTCTAGCGACGAAAATGCTAGCCCGCAAGATTTCCAGCAGCATTGTGTTCTGGTATTTTCTTCCTTTTTCAGTGCCGGCTTTTGAATCGGTTTCGGCGAAACTTCAATGCTCGAGATCGAATTTTCACTATCGCTCTGCAAGGGAAAAGTGTTTAAATCAATGCATTTTTATTTAAAAGCAGCACTCCGAACGATAGATCTTTTTATGAACCCTACTAAGGAGGACGAAGTAATCACTACAGTTAAAGCTTTAAAATATAAGAAGTCTGAGGGATACGATGACATTTCTTCCAAATTCCTAAAACTAATACCGGCAGTTGAACTGACGTACATACTGCGAGTCAAGAATTTTGTCTGACTGCTTGAAACATTCCCACATCAGGGAGGATCTCCAAAACTGCAGACCAGTTTCCTTACTATCGGCTGAGAGTAAACTTTTTGAAAAACTTGTATATAGTAGTCTTTTTTAACCTCAAGGAAAATTTTAAGTGAATGTCAGCATGCCTTCCTTACAATAAATCAACTACTACTGCATCGTTTGAGGTGATTTCTAGAGTGATCGATAGTTAAGATAAGAAAATTTTGACCATTTGACTTTACTAAAGTTTTTGGTAGGGTCGCCTTGTGTAGAAAAAATATCATACGCCGGAATTAGAGGACTAGCCCACAGCTGGTTTGGAAACTATTGTCGTAGAGTTGGACTATGATCAATTGAGAACAGCTTGTTATTCTCTAAGACCGTTAACTAACACACAATGTTATGTAGTATATTTCGTATGGAACTATTGTTTAGGAAGCTGGAGCTGGTGACAGCCGCCCTTCATCCTACAGAAGAGAGGTAGTAGAATAATATCAGAGCTTTTTAAAACCACCAACTAAATTATAAATCGTAGGCAATTAAAAGTAAAAGTAAAAAAGGTACGCATGCAGAAGCCTTTTCCATATTCGTCATTATCTGCAGGACCATGACTGTTGTTTGCATACTTCGGTCTATGCATATCTCCCATATTATATTAAAAATTATAACTCATACTATACTTTTTTTATACCAATATCAATTTCTATCTATGCATCTATTACTCATTATTTTATTTTGTTTTCAATACAGGTTTTTTGAAAATAAATTATTCTTTTCTCTTCACTTACCTGAGTACTGTTAGGCGAACAAGGGAGCAAGTAGTCTTCGTTGCTCTCCATGGGCTGTCTAAATGGCTCGAAACGTTGAAAGTAAGGGAACGAATCTTCCGTTCTCATAGGCGATGCGTAGGCATAGTATTGCAACGGTTGGCCGACCACCAATCTGGGATTGGAAACAAACATTTCTGTAGGTAGATGAGACAGATCACACTGAATTTAACATATAGGTATATGTAAAGAAACTACTGTTTATAGTCGGTCCGAATAAACCCACTTGCGACAAAATAACTAGTAATAATTATAACAGTATGTCTCAGTTTTTAATAACCTCTCGTATTGATAAGACCATGACAGGGCGGCACTTAATTAAATTGAAATTAAATTAGTTTGTTCAATTTTCAATGCACGCAATGCCGACATGTAATTTGGCGTGTCCGAAAATGACGGATTTTTCAAGATGCAGTGCGCTGAAGTTTGTTGTTTGGGTGAGTTCATTAAGTTTCGTTCTTCCGATATATTATTGTCTCTTTAAAATGAATGTGCAGTAGTTACAAATCATTATTGGCGCGAATTACTCAAAACGGACTGGAGACTATCATCAAGACATAAATCCTGATGTTTTGACGATTTTTCTTCTCGAGGTGGCTATCTATCAGTGGATGCCGGATTTCACCAACACCGGAGTAAGTAAACCATTGCACTAACTATTTAGAACCATCGTTAAAAATGTCTGGCTTTCGTAACAATGCGCTCGATACTGTCCTGTCACTATTAACGCAATTAATACACATCCAGGGGGGCAAAGTCGTATGTCTATTTATTTTCTGATTTTACATAAAGTTGCGTCGGAGATACTGGTTTGAACCGGTTTTCGACGTTTTCTGGCTTGGAGTCTGATAAGAACACAAGCGACTTGCCTGGCTGACCCAGGCACCGGCTTAAACCGGATTATGATAACAGCGCAGTTTATCAGTCGCTATTTTTAAGTTAAACACCACAGCATCTTTATTTGCGTCTGGGGAATATGTTAACTACCTTAATTCGTACGCATGTTTGCAGACTTGACAGGGAATAATAACGGAGCCACTGATACTTTCAAGGTGCTAATTGGGACCGCGTACTGTCGACCCGGTTTCTAAAACCATATATAGCTTTTCCTTTAGATGGATTATCGCGTTACACAGATTGCTTGTAGATCTATAGAAGAACTATATATTTTTTAATAATAGTAATAATCATAAATAGCCTTATTACATTAATTCTTAATAACAAAAAGGCTACAAAATTATATCGCGAATTGAATTTGATAGCAGAGGGTTAATAAAGTCACACATCTGGCACAGTCAGAGACTGTTACCAAATTTAGCATCAAATTAACAGACAGAAAGAAATATACAACGGTTGAAGTGGGAGTGGGAGGAAATTAAGGATAATTAGAAGATGAAATCTTGCTGCATTTTGACTACACGAAAGGGAATTTTTAAAATCATTTTTCAGGGGTAATATTTATTTATAATTTATTATGAGAAGGGCCTTTTCAAATGACCTTTTGGCTCAAATTGTGGACAAGCGTCCGAAATGAAACTTTGTTGTACGGGTTGTCCCAAACTCGAGAGGAACTGTTGGAAAATCGCAAGACACTTTCCGATTGCAACTTTTTCTCTTCTGCAAAAAAGTTTTAAGTATGACGTTGCCGTTTTGTGTGTTCTTAATGAACTTCATTGTATCATACTTAATGATTTAGTTAACAATAACCTCTCAAAATTGACAGAGCTAAATTTACACAATAAAATAAAGTGGCTATAAAAAAAAGCATTTATGTCCAGCAGCCTTGATATAGTTGGTGTTTTCAAAAACATTACAAATACATTTAAGGCTGATCCTAAAAATTTTTGGCGTACTTTGAGGAGACTTCGAGTGCACAGTAATCCTACTTTGATGTTTGAAAACAATTTTGGCCAACCTAATAGTTTTAATGTTGCTTTTACTTCTTTTGGAGCTGTTGGTGGTATTTATTTGGTTCTAATTCATTCCGTTTTGCTAAAGTTTGCCCTGAGCGAGTTAATAAAACTTTAATTAGTATTAAAACTAACGCTGATGGCTCAGACAATATTGATATAAAAATGATTCTTTTGACTACTCCATATTTAGTCGATCATATCACTTTCCTTCTGTCTGCTGACCGGGGTTTACCGGACTCATGGAAGCAGGCTGAAGTTATACCCGCCCCAAAGAAAGAGTGTCCAAGTAGCACTAACGATTTTAGAAGAATCAGGTTGCTGCCAAACATCTCAAAGATTATTGAAAAAATTGCAGCTAAACAACTTCGTCAGTTCCTATGCGATAACTAAATCCTCCCAGACACTCAATCTGGTTTTCGACCTCTTCACAACACTACTTATGCCTTGTTTCATGATTTATTGCGAGCAGCGGATTCTAAATTAAACTCTTGTCTCATACTCTTGGACTTTAGCAAAGCGTTCGACACCTTAGATCATTTCCTTCTCCTAGCTAAACTGGAATTCTTCGGAAAAAAATGTACAGCTCTTTCTTTTTTAAAAAAATTTCTTGGTCAAAGATACCAAAGGGTAGTTATAGATGCCATTATTTTGGAGAAGGGTGTTCCCCAGGGGAGTATTCTGGGACCCATTTTGTTCTCAGTTTATACAGCTGACTTCTCTAATTTTCTTAAATTTTGTAAATCTCATCAATACGCCGATAATACTCAGTTATATTTATCTTTTGTTGCTAGTGAAGCTTTAAATGCCGCTACCAAAATAAATTTAGATCTAAAAATAATTGCCGAGGTATGTGCGGCTCACAAGCTCTTATACTAATACTAAATGCAGATATTATTATTTGGAAATAAAAGGGAAGATATTGTAAAAAACGCCTGTTTTAAGATTACACTAAATGATGAGATTATCTCTCCTTCTTCAGACGGGTGTAAAAATTTAGGATTATGGTTTGACGGGGACTTGCGGTTTTCTAAGCATACTGGCTTGGTGTTGAAGGACATTGTATCTTCATAAAAAATTTCTCGATAAAGAAGTCAAACTTAGTTTTATCCCATGTCGCTGATATTGCGTTCCTAGATACACTTCGGTAACTTTTCAGAGATCTTTTAGCAATAACGCAGTTAAATTATTTAATGAAATTCCATACGCTATAACGTCCCTCCCTACAATAAAGTCCTCCAAAAAAGCTTTAATATTGTTTATTAGACCCGCCCAAAAAGCGTAGCAAAAACGTGTGAGTTTATGATTAGAGATTTAACGGTTCGGAAAAAAAACGGAAAATTTGTAAAAAAAAACACGTCTTTTTCAGTTTTTGTCCCAAACCTGCCTAAGAATTAGAAAAAAAAGGAAAATTTGACTTTTCTTAAATTAAATGCTAAATACCTAAACGAGTTAATATGTTATGATATAAATGTATATTGGTTAGTATAAGTTGCATCAATAAAAAAAATAAAAATTAAGATGCCTACTTTATTTCAAAATAATATAAAAATTAAAATAAGAACTCTTTGGTTAAGAAAACATAAACTCTAGAATACATAATAAACAAAAAAAAGAATAACTGAAAACGTAATCAAAATGCAAGTAAAAAAACGTCATTTCTGCAAAGCCAGTACACTTAAAGGGGTTTCATCGTCAAGGTCCGAGTCTTCGGAGAAAGAATCTGGTTCTGATTCCGCAGCATCGCCGTCCTGGATATTTCCAATTAATTCTATATCCATTTCAGCCCGCGGAACTGGCCTAGAATCCTAGGCAAATTTGTCATTTTCTTCTAAATTTAAGGTAGACTGAATTGCAACATATTTTTGTACCTTATCTTGTGTCAGTCTATTTCTTTTTTTAGTATGAATAACACCATCCAAAGACTAGTTTCTTTCTGACGAAGCGGACGATGGAGGTCCATTTAAAATTCTGGAAGCAATCGGCATAAGTGGCTGAGAGGTACACAACCCCTGCCACCATATAACTGGATCGGTACTGCTCGCAGATTCCCATAGAGAATTCCTACTAAAAAATCCCGTTTCAGTTCTGAAGTGGGCTAAATTTGCTATTACTTCTCCTGTATTTAAACGTAATAATTGAGACATTTGCGAAATAAAATCAATTGCCAATATAACTTGGTCTCAAAATGAATAGATTTACAACAAAATTCGAAGCGCTCTGTTACACATTTTAATAGGATTTCTCTAGTCAGGCAGGACAGGCCATCAGTATTTGCGGCAATACCATATATTGCATCTTCTATCAACTTAAAAACAAAAGGCACTTCTGATAATGGGGATTTATCGGACCCAATCATATTTGTTTCGCGGAAATGTGTAGGGGATTTACCGGTAAACAAGATGTCAGTGTTGTTACACTGCACTTATTTTTAAAAATATGTTTGAAAATAATTGTATTGAATAATATTTAACACGTAAATCTCCCTGGATATTAAAATGCTTTTGGGTTTCGTTTCCAACAAAAATTCAATTTTTCCCAAATTTTCCGGAAATTTTGAATCACTATTTATGATGTGCGTCTATTTCTTCTGTTTGTGATGTATATACGGGTGTGTATTTTGTTGACAATTATGGTGTTGGTGCCGTTGTTCTTGTGGTTACATGGAAGAGCGCAAATTGCGAATGTTGCCACTCTTGTATTGTTATATTGTAATATTGTTATATTGTAATATTGTTATATTGTAATATTTTGATTATCAATAAATACAGTGTATTATTTTTTTTTCAAAGAAACTTCCACAGGCTACTGTAATACTTTTTACAAAACTTCTGGATTCCTCCTGCGTCGGTTTTGCAAGTTCGACTCAGCAAAAACCGACGCAGGAGAAATCCAGAAGTTTTGTAAAAAGTATTATTATTATTACGTTAAACCGTCTCGGCTTATTTGTTAAATATTCGAGTTACAATTTCATTTTACTTTGGTAACTGAGTATTAGAATAGCAAAAAAAGACATTCTTAAAATAAATATTAAAATATTTTAGTTTTCAAAGAAACTTCCACAGGCTACTGTAATGCTATTTACAAATCTTCTCGATTCCTCTTGCATCGGTAAATTAATATTGAAAATTTAAAACCTTTGATCCCGTACGGTACCCAATGACACAGTCTATATTATTTAATCTCTTAGATGTTAAGTTCCCTTCATATATTATTGGATCGATAGTTTTATTTTTCTACAAGCCTAATGAAACATTAAACTATTTCTCGGTTTGCTAAAACTGTCGAATTATAACAAATTTTCATCTAATTTAGCAAACAAATTTGGATGCGGTTGCACTAGCTGGAATTTCTAAGTGCATTGTAATAAATACGTACAATATCGAAAACACCTTTTTTACTACAATAGTAAAAACTAACTGGCGCCTTAATAATTGACAACTTTAATTTTAGATTGCTGTATGCAATCCTTAATTCGCTTGCAACCTGCTCTACACATTTTAGCCGCGAATCTTGAGTTAGTACTAAACTTTTTCAACTATTGCAAAAAGGCGGTTTTTAATGTTATCAATTCGATTATCAGAGTCTCAAAATCATTTTTTTTTGCCAGTGAAGCTAAGCAAGCCTTTGCCGCCCTCAACTATGATTTGAACAAAGTTTACGACATGTCCACTAAGCATTGTTTATCATTAAATCTGCAGTATTCCTGTTGGATCGAAAG